ACGCGCGCGCGCACACACGCACACACACACACACACACACGTTCGCTCCACATGCAGGAAGGAATGCCACGTGGAGCAGTGTTCCGTGTGATGCACACACGGCTTTGCGTGTTCTCATCAAAGCCCTGTTGTGGAAAAGCAGACCCCGGCTGCTCCCTGCCACGCAGAACATAAAAAAATAAATAAATAAACTGGAGGCTTCGCATTTACCGGCAACACGGCCCCGTCCCGCATTCCCGACCCTCCGCCCCGCTCTGACCCTCTGCGGGAAGGAGAGAGCACAGCGCAGGGTTATTTACGGGTAAACAGTAATCCCGGTGAAGCGTAGTAGTTAAGTAACATACATGCACACCAGCACACTCTCCAGGGACGCGTACAGACGAACCAGCAAGAGCAGACGGAGCAGTGAGAACTACATGAACAACGCAGTTCTACTCACCAGGAGCCGAGCGCCAAGAGCGTTGTTCAGAAACACCAACGCTCATCATCCAAACAAAACGGGCTCCACACAGCAATGTTCACAGCACGGCAGGGACACCTGCAAACGCTCTCCTCACGGCTGGACTCCCGCGGCCCTGAGCCCGCACGCCCTGTCCGTCACACGGCTACGGCATCACCACTGCATGGCAACGGGCACCTTCCCGCGGACATTCGACTAGATCCGTGGTCGGCAAATCGCGACTCACGAGCCACAGGCGGCTCTTTGGCCCCTTGAGTGTGGCTCTTCCACAAAGCACCACGGCCTGGGCGAGTCCATTTTGAAGAAGTGGCGTTAGAAGAAGTTAAAGTTTAAAAAATGTGGCTCTCCGAAGACATGTCAATCGTTGTCCTGTTGGTGTTTGGCTCTGTGGACTGATGAGTTTGCCGACCGCTGGGCTAGACTCTAGTCACCAGAGGCTGGGTTTCCCAGGAGCCGGGAAGCAATCGCGTCACGCCCTACGCCGCCCAGTCCCCATCCCCACACGCTCGTTAGCGGAGACACGGCCATGGTTAGCGCGGTGCCGCTGAGACGGCTCAGTAGGTCTGGGCGGGCGTGGACGTGTCCGGTGAGAGGACACCGCTGGGGGGAGCTCCCTCCTGCACGTGGACAAACGGCCCTTTCAGAGGGCGCCGAGAGGCCCGGGAGGACACTTGGCCCCTGAGCAGCCGGCGGGGAGGGCCTCCGGGCGGGCGCCCGCTGTGCGCGGGAGACAGGGCCGCGTCCACCGGCGTCTGCGGTAACCGCCTCCCCACCCCACCCCCCACCCTGCGCCGCACCACGGCCCACAGCGCGGGCATTAGGAGAAAGGCGGCGCACGGGGCTGCTCACACCGGAACCGCGCCTGCAGCTCCGGGCCGTCGGTGTCACCTCTACACGGCTCACGGAACATACTTTATCACACGTGATGCTGTCCGAGCACCTGACACGCACACGTGTGCTGCATTACCCGCTCCATCATGACCTCATCCTAACGCTCTCGGCAACGCGCCCGCCAATCAGAAACCGGGTCGCCCCTCAGACGCTGCCACCACCACCGCGCCGCCCGTCGGAGAGCACGCTGAGCCAGGGAAGCGCCGGCCGGACAGAGCGAAGGCCGCACCGCGAGGGCCCGGACAGACCGGGAAGGCTGCTCCCATCGTCATTTCTCAGTCCCCGGGCATCGCTCACAGCCTCCGAGTCCCCGGGCATCGCTCACAGCCTCCGAGTCCCCGGGCATCACTCACAGCCTCCGAGTCCCCAAGCATCGCTCACAGCCTCCGAGTCCCCGGGCATCGCTCACAGCCTCCGAGTCCCCGGGCATCGCTCACAGCCTCCGAGTCCCCGGGCATCGCTCATAGCCTCCGAGTCCCCGGGCATCGCTCACAGCCTCCGAGTCCCCGGGCATCGCTCACAGCCTCCGAGTCCCCGGGCATCGCTCACAGCCTCCGAGGAGGCTCCCGGCTGACCCGCTCTGCTGACCCGGAGGCCTGGCCTCAGGGAGGGCTTTCCGAACCACACGCCTCCGTGCGGCACTGCAGGCGCTCAGGACGGGCCCAGAGAGCGCTGTCCAAGCAGTGCGGCCGTTCACGACAGAGCCAGGCCTGGCCTGCCCCTGGTCCCCACCCTCAGGGGAGGGGCCAGACCTGGGAGGTGGGCGCCTCGGCTTCTCGGCACACGGTCCACACCAAAGCACAGCCATCCCACCAGCCCCCACGCCTGGGAGGGGAGGCAGGCTGGGAGGCGGCGCTCACTGGAGCGGGGCGGGGAGGGTGGGGGGCAGGGGGCAGGGGCCCTCCTTCTGCCAGGCCAGGTGGGGGTCTGTGACGTCACTCGCGGGCCCCGCCCATTGTGCCCTAACAATCAGCTGCTGGGTGTGGGCAGCCACTCAGTGAGCCCACCCAAGGCCCCGGCTGGCCTTCCCGGGCCCGCGGGCCGGCGTCACCCCCCCCCACCCACCCCCACCCCCGGCATGGAGGAGCAGGCCGCCTGCCCCATGCCACCGCGCTCCGACTAAAACCCGCTGCCCCGAAGCTTCCACACGGCTCCCACATCTCGGCCCGGCCCCCGGCCAGCAGCCTCACGCTCCACACGGCCCCCGGCCGGCAGCCTCACGCTCCACACGGCCCCCGGCCGGCAGCCTCACGCTGCACTCGGCCCCCGGCCGGCAGCCTCACACTCCACACGGCCCCCGGCCGGCAGCCTCACGCTCCACACGGCCCCCGGCCGGCAGCCTCACGCTCCACACGGCCCCCGGCCGGCAGCCTCACACTCCACACGGCCCCCGGCCGGCAGCCTCACGCTCCACACGGCCCCTGGCCGGCAGCCTCACACTCCACACGGCCCCCAGCCGGCAGCCTCACGCTCCACACGGCCCCCAGCCGGCAGCCCTGCTGAGCGGCACCGAGCACCTGCCGCCTTCACGTCCGCCGTGCTTTCCCGGGAGGGTGCAGGCCGAGACCCGGAGCTGGGGCGGAAGCTGGGGGGCTTGCCCTGTGTGGCCCGCGTGTGCTGGCTCTGGACCTGCGGGAGCTTCAGCGTGCAGCCTGCCTGGTCCCGGGGCAGGGCCACCGCGGGCAGGCAGCGCCGCGCGTCCCGGAGGGACCAGGGCGGCCCCCGAGGGCGGGCGCGGCTCAGGGGCCCGCAGGCTCCCGCCCCCGGAGGAGCAGGAGGCCCGCAGGCCTGCGGGGGGAGCCGCGCCGACTCGGGGCAGCAGCCCTCAGGCAGTGAGAACGGTGAGTCCGGGACTCCGCCCGCACGGAAGAGGCGGCCTGGCTCTCCAGGGGCGCGGCCACGTGGAGAAAGCCATGGCGGCTGGCAGGCGGCCGGCTCCGGGACGCGCCGTGGCGGTGAGCGTGGGGGACCCGGGGCCGGGACGGCGCCGTGGCGGTGAGCGTGGGGGACCGGGCCCAGACGGCGCCGTGGCGGTGAGCGTGGGGACCGGGGCCCGGACGGCGCCGTGGCGGTGAGCGTGGGGGACCGGGCCCGGACGGCGCCGTGGCGGTGAGCGTGGGGACCGGGGCCCGGACGGCGCCGTGGCGGTGAGCGTGGGGGACCGGGCCCGGACGGCGCCGTGGCGGTGAGCGTGGGGGACCGGGCCGGGACGGGCGCCGTGGCCGTGAGCGTGGGGGACCGGGCCCAGACGGCGCCGTGGTGGTGAGCGTGGGGGACCGGGCCGGGAAGGGCGCCGTGGCGGTGAGCGTGGGGGACCGGGCCCAGGAAGGGCACCGTGGCGGTGAGCGTGGGGACCCGGGGCCGGGAAGGGCGCCGTGGCGGTGAGCGTGGGGACCCGGGGCCGGGAAGGGCGCCGTGGCGGTGAGCGTGGGGGACCAGGCCGGGAAGGGCGCCGTGGCGGTGAGCGTGGGGACCGGGCCGGGAAGGGCGCCGTGGCGGTGAGCGTGGGGACCGGGCCCGGACGCGCCGTGGTGGTGAGCGTGGGGGACCGGGCCCGGGAAGGGCACCGTGGCGGTGAGCGTGGGGACCCGGGGCCGGGAAGGGCGCCGTGGCGGTGAGCGTGGGGACCCGGGGCCGGGAAGGGCGCCGTGGCGGTGAGCGTGGGGACCGGGCCCGGACGGCGCCGTGGCGGTGAGCGTGGGGACCGGGCCCGGCCGCGCCGTGGCGGTGAGCGTGGGGGACCGAGCCCAGACGGCGCCGTGGCAGTGAGCGTGGGGACCGGGCCCGGACGGCGCCGTGGCGGTGAGCGTGGGGACCGGGCCCAGACGGCGCCGTGGCGGTGAGCGTGGGGGACCGGGCCGGGAAGGGCGCCGTGGCGGTGAGCGTGGGGGACCGGGGCCGGACGGCGCCGTGGCGGTGAGCGTGGGGGACCGGGCCGGGAAGGGCGCCGTGGCGGTGAGCGTGGGGGACCGGGGCCGGACGGCGCCGTGGCGGTGAGCGTGGGGGACCGGGCCCGGACGCGCCGTGGCGGTGAGCGTGGGGGACCGGGCCCGGACGCGCCGTGGCGGTGAGCGTGGGGGACCCGGGGCCGGGAAGGGCGCCGTGGCGGTGAGCGTGGGGGACCGGCCCCGGGACGCGCCGTGGCGGTGAGCGTGGGGGACCGGGCCCGGACGCGCCGTGGCGGTGAGCGTGGGGGACCCGGGGCCGGGAAGGGCGCCGTGGCGGTGAGCGTGGGGGACCGGGCCCGGACGCGCCGTGGCGGTGAGCGTGGGGGACCGGGCCGGGAAGGGCACCGTGGCGGTGAGCGTGGGGGACCGGGCCGGGAAGGGCACCGTGGCGGTGAGCGTGGGGGACCGGGCCGGGAAGGGCACCGTGGCGGTGAGCGTGGGGGACCGGGCCCGGACGGCGCCGTGGCGGTGAGCGTGGGGACCGGGCCCGGACGGCGCCGTGGCGGTGAGCGTGGGGGACCGGACGCGCCGTGGCGGTGAGCGTGGGGGACCGGGCCGGGAAGGGCGCCGTGGCGGTGAGCGTGGGGACCGGGCCCGGACGGCGCCGTGGCGGTGAGCGTGGGGGACCGGACGCGCCGTGGCGGTGGCGTGGGGTCGGAGACGCCGGAGCGAGGCCGGATGCAGAGCGGCCCCGCACGTACCTCCTGGGCGGAGCGGGCGGCCGGCTTGTCCTGGTGGCTGGCGAGGATGAGGAAGGGCAGGGTGCAGAGCTGCGGGTGCCGCAGTGCCGAGTGCAGCTCGCTGCGGGCCGTCTCCAGGTCGCCCTCGGAGGACGCGCTGTCCAGCACGAACACCACGCCCTGGGAGCCCTGGTAGTAGCGGCTCCAGTACTTGCGGATGTGGTCGGCCCCTGCGGACACACGGACACCGGTCAGCCCGTCTGCCGCCCGCGCCCGGGCTCTCACACCCACGCAGGGGCCCGCGGGCCGGAGGCGGACGGGGGACACACGAGCCTGAGGTCCTCCCTGTGCCTCTGCTGTCCACACGGGAGAGAACAGGACTCCCGGCCTGGCCCCGGAGGACGCTTTCAGACAGGCCACCCCCGGCCAGAGCGGCCGGCGGGGCGGGGGGCGGCCGCCACGGAGAGCAGCGGCGCCGTCTCCGGGCGCGGACCGCCGTGGGGCCGCCGGTCACCCCTGCGAGGACTCGGGACGGGGATGGGTGGAGGGGCGCGCCCGGCTCTGTGTTCAGGGACGTCGTGTGGGAAGCCGGACACGGCGGGAGGTGGCTCCCAGTGACACTGGCAAATGCTGCCCATCAGGTCCTGTCCTCCCAAAGGGCCAAGACTCGCCCTCCCGGGACACTGAGCAGCTCGGGTTTCTGGGAAGAGCAGGAGGACGCCCAGACGTCCCCAGGCGGGGTGAAGCGCGGAGCCTGGTCCCCACCCGCGCTTGGGAGCGTCTTACCCACAGGGGAGGGTCTCGTAAAGGGGCAGCGTCGGCACCCAGGCCGCTGCCCTGTGCAGGCCCTTCCCACGGCCCGGCAGCCACGTGCTCTCAAAGCAAGCGCTCCTGCTGGGGCCTGTGACCCAGGAGGTCAGGGTTCGATTCCCGGTCGGGCACAGGCCCCGGGTGCAGGCTGCACCCTGGGGGGGGGGGGGGGGGTGCAGGAGGCAGCCAAGCCGTGGTTCTCTCTCCTCACTGACGTTTCTACCTCTCTCCCTCTCCCTCCTCTCTGACATCAATATAAATAAGGTGATCAATGATTGAACATCTGGGCCCAGCGGGACTGGAGCGGAGGGATGGCTGAGCAGAAGGACGAGGCTGGGTGAAGAGCCCACAGCACAGCGGCCGTCGGGAAGGAGGTGGGTGAGAGCACAGGGCCCGCACGATCGCCACCGGCCACCGGACTCCCAACAGGAAGCACAGAGCGTGCGGATGGGAACACAGCAGGGCTGAGGTGTCACGTGGAGACATGGGGTCCACACGGGAAGGCTACGTGAAGCCCTGAAGACTCCTGACAGGCAACGAAGACGGTGCCTTCCGAGCACAAAACCATTAAAAGGCCAGGAACTGCGCTGACGCGTGTGCAGGCCGAAGCCTGTTAGTGCGTGTTGTTTCTGTCTCCCCTCCCCCTCCTCGGTGGGGCCCACGTGGCCGATGCAGGTGGCAGCACCAACACCGTCCCCGCCGGCAGCTGCTCGGCTGCGGGAGGGCGAGCGCCGAGCCCGCGGCACGGCCGCTCTGGAATGCCCGGGTCGGTCCATCGCAGCAGCCCTCCCTCTCTGCAGGATGAACTCTGTGTCATACGCGCTCCTCTGAGTAACCGAGCAACGTGCTCCCAGACAGGCCGGTCTGTCCCCGCGAATTAGCACAGACTTTTTTTCATCTACACATTAAATTGATGGATTTGATAGCATCTCAGAGCTTCACAGGCTTACATATTTAATCTGAATAACTCAGCCGCATAGAAGTATCCAGAAACGGATATTTTCCTTTCTGAGCCTTCCCCCGACGCCTGATTTTTTTTAAAACCGCACACGTTAACGCCGCCTGTTTCTTTACAATAACCGCTCACAAAGCTCGTTCCGAGGAGCTGTCGCTGGGGTGACTGACAGAGCACGTTCTGATGGCTGAGGGGACAGACTGCTGCCCAGCTTCACGTGACATAACTGACACACGTCACAGGCTTCCTGTTTTACTGTTTTAGGTGGTTCATGGTTAGAACACGTTTAAAACTTGTTTCACGTGTCATTGTTTTTGTCTATTTGCTATTAATTTCCAGTTGCATTTTAATCAGAAAACATTACATATGGTCATGCGTGTAAAGATTTCATGTGTATTTCAAAAGAACATGACCTTCTATGTGAATATAAAGTAACATAATTGGCCGAAACCGGTTTGGCTCAGTGGATAGAGCGTCGGTCTGCGGACTGAAAGGTCCCAGGTTCGATTCTGGTCAAGGGCATGTACCTTGGTTGCGGGCACATCCCCGGTAGGGGGTGTGCAGGAGGCAGCTGGTTGATGTTTCTCTCTCATCAATGTTTCTAGCTCTCTATCCCTCTTCCTTCCTCTCTGTGGAAAATCAATAAAATATATTTTTAAAATAAGAAAAGAAAATAACATAATTGTCAGTGAGATCAACTTGTTAATTGGCTAGTTAAGTCCTTTATATATTTTTATTTATGTGATCTGTTGTCTTCTGAGAAAAGTATAGCCAAATTTTCTACTAATTTTGGATCTGTTGATTTTTTTTTTCTTACCTTTTTCTGTTTTAGCTTTGTGTAGTTCAGAATTATGTAGTAAAATATGTAAAAGTTTATAATTACTCAGTTACCTTAGTCTATCAATATGAAATCCTATAACGATTGGTTTCTCTCTCATCGATGTTTCTAACTCTCTATCCCTCTCCCTTCCTCTCTGTAAAAAAAAATCAATAACATATATTTTAACAATATGAAATCATTTATTCTGATTAATATTCTTTGCTTTGAATTTCATTTTATCTGCTATTAATACAGGGTAGGGCAAAAGCAGGTCTACAGTTGTGAGTATGCAAAACAGAGTTTATTATTGTTATTTATTAACTAGAGGCCCAGTGCATGAAATTCCTGCAGCAGCAGAGGGTGTCCCTCAGCCCAGCCTGCACCCTCTCGCAATCCGGGGCTGCTGGCTCCTAACCACTTGCCTGTCTGCTTGCCTCATCACCCCTAACCACTCACCTGCCTGTCTGATCACCCCTAACCACATGCCTGACTGATCACCCCTAGCTGCCTCTGCCCCTGCCGCAGTGGCTTCATCCAGAATGATGTCTGGAAGGTCATTTGGCTGTCCAGTCTAATTAGCATATTACGCTTTTATTACAGATTATGATTGTATTATTTCCCACACGAACAACTGCAAGCCTCCTGCTGCCATGCCCTGTATCCCTCCAAGTGTGTTCTCTCCAATGGTCTGTCCTAAGAGTATCTCTCGTCAGATATTTGCAAATCATACGTCTGAGGAAGAAGTGACTGAAGGTTTTTATTGTGCAGTGTCACTCATCACCAGATACAGCTGACTATGTTATAACATTTTCATGCCACCCATATTATAAAATGGGAATTTAATCCATTTACATTTGTTGTGATTACTCGTGTAAAAGGTATTACCTATTTATCATAACTTTATGTTGGTTATTTTGCTATGCTATTTTTTTTTCCATTCTTGCATTTGCTGAATTTACCAAATTTAAAAAAAAAAAAATCTCTTTCAAAACACTTCTCATGAAAAAATTCACGATACATATATAAAAGCCTAAGCAACCGTCCAACCATTCAAGCGGTAGCTATGATGTGCACTGACCACCAGGGGGCAGGCGCTCAATGCACAGGCATGGAAATATAGAACAGACTGCTGAATCTCAGAGGGAAGGGCAGGACGAGATTAACCAAAGATCTTACATGCATACTAGAGGCCCGGTGCACGAATTCATGCACCAGTGGGGTCCCTCAGCCTGGCCTGCAGGGATTGAGCTGAAACCAGCAGTCCGACATCCCCCAAGGGGTCCTGGATTGTGAGAGGGTGCAGGCCAAGGGACACCGCCAGTGCAGGAATCCGTGCACCAGGCCTCTAGTTTGTTAATAAGTAACATGAAAGAGTGCAGTTTCTGAAATGGATCTCATGGTACAGCTCTTCAATCCATACAAAGGGAAACAACATTTCTATTATCCAGAACTCAGGACAGCCCTTCAGACACACACAAAGAGGAGGAACTGTTTCTAGGAAATGCATTCTCCAGGGCAGAGGTAAAAGGATCCACCCATCAGCATAACAAATGGCTAGGTTTTAACGACAGGGGCCATGTTAGTGCCCAGTGAGGGAGGTGGGAGGGAGACACGGAAACACGTAAGATGCTGTACCTCCGAGCTCCTTTACGTTCAAGACGGCATTCTGGAAGGGCACTGCCTTTATACTGAAACCTGAAACCAGAAAACAAGGATTAGCGACCACTTCTTAGAATGCACCATCGCTCACACCCTCTTTTTTTTTTGTCTGTCAGATTAAGTACTCTTAGCTCATATTTACATTAGAAACACAATTTCTAAGATACACCGATAATCTGATATCGTCTGCTACTGTTTTTCAAAACAGCTGTGTGTTACAGCAAAACACAACCCTTTTCTTCAAAATATCATATTTTTAATATATAATATCAATTTGAAAATGTTAGGAAGACATTTGGAAATATAGAGAAACTTCAAAGAAAATATTAAATCTACTGGGACCTTGGCATCGAACTAATTCCTAAAATTTCTCTCATTTGTAACTCGGCAACCTAAGAGATCAGGGTGTCTAAGGTAAAGCCTTCTTATATTAAAATTTCAGAGTATTCATGCTAGTGTTCTTTTAAGGATGTGGGTAATGTCATACATATATTTTTCTTAAATGTAGCATCAATTATGTATAAAAGACAATTATTTTATAATGTCATTTCTTATATATTCAGAGTGTGGCTTTAGGATGAACTACATATTTAGTATTTAGCTATCATCATTTAAACCAATTCAGTTATAACATATGTAACACATGCGCACATACTTACACACGGACATACACATGCGTAAACACGTGTACACGCAGAACATTTCTGAGAGGACCCACGCGAAGCCGGGTTCCGGGAGAACTGGGGTATCTGAATCATAACCAGGACGAGATGCTCCGTCTCACTGGAATTTCTCATCATATACAAGCCCCCTTTTCCAATGAACAGACCCACTAATTTATGAACGTTAACAGACTCCAATTTCCTGAGCACTCAACCCATTTAAGATTTCAAGCATTATTTAACACCTTCCAGAAACTCGTGCACTTGGAGGGGGATGTCCTCAGGGGATGTCCTGCTGGCGGCCTAGGCCTAAGCCCTCAGTCAGCATCCTTACTGCTGCTGTGGAGGAGGCAGAGCTCCCGCCACCGCTGCACTCGCCGTGTGAGCCGGCTTCTGGCTGAGCAGCTCCCCACGGGAGTGCACTGACCACCAGGGGCAGCTCCTGCATGGTGTCTGCCCCCTGGTGGTCAGTGTGCATCACGGCGACCAGTCATTCTGCTGGTCATTCCGCCGTTCCATCTATTTGCATATTAGCCTTTTATTATATAGGACTAGAGGCCTGGTGCACGAATTTGTGCATGAGGCGGGGGGGGGGGGGGGGTCCTGGATTGCGAGAGGGTGCAGGCCAAGGGACCCCACCAGTGCACGAATCCGAGCCACAACACTGCCCCCCACCAGCTTGGAGGGTTGTACTCATGCATGTGGGGTGCATGCTTTCATGTTTTTTCTGGGAAATTCTCACTCTGCCATCTGCATGATACAACTGGAAACGTGATTCATCAAATCACATGACTTTTTTCTAATGCTCAACTGTCCAATCCTGTGTTCCTGTGCAAACTGGAGACGTTTTATCTTGGCAAAGCAGACGGCAAAGGTGTTCGAACAGGCCTTTGGCTTCCTCATCCCATAGGAAGCAGCGTACGGCTAATGTGCCTACACACGTCAGGTGGTCATTAAAACCTGGCCACTCCGTGTATATTTTATTCATGTCAGAGAGGGAGAGGGAAACACCAGTGATGTGAGAGACTCACGGATCGGCTGCCTCCTGCACGCCCCCTACTGGGGATCGGAGCTCACAACCTGGGCATGTGTCCTTGTCCAGGATTGAACCTGGGACCCGTCAGCCCGCAGGCGGCCGCCCAGGGGCCACCGTCGGCGGAGGGGCGGGCGCGGGGCACTCACCGGTGGTGGACACGACGTGCTCGGGGCTCTCGCTGCACAGCCGGGACAGCAGGCTGGTCTTGCCGGAGCCCGTGAGGCCTATGCAGACGAGGTCATACTCGGGGCGCGCGGGCGGGGGTCCCTTGCAGCACAGCGCTCGGAAACACTGCGGGGAGACAGTCGTCAGGCGGCGTGGACGGGGGCGTGGATGGGGGGCGTGGACGGGGGCGTGGACCGGGGGGGTGGACAGGGGGTTGATGGGGGCGTGGACAGGGGCGTGGACGGCGCATGGACAGGGGGTTGATGGGGGCGTGGACGGGGGCGTGGACGGCACATGGCGGGCATAGACGGCGCGTGGATGGGGGGCGTGGATGGCCCACAGCCGCCAGTGGCTCTCAGGAGCCATCCGATGACCTGCTGCTTAGGAGGGGAGGGGACCCAGAGCGGAGACACGAGGACAGCACAGAACCACAGACCAGTTTCCGCCCCAGCAGCCACGCAGACACACCGTCCCGCTCTCTCCTGAGTGGCAGGAACACCGAGGGGCGCGGCCCTACCTCTGGGCCCCCAGGATGCACCCTGCACCTCCCCCCCAGGACGCCCGGCAGAGCCAGTGGGGAGACGCCAGTGTAAGTGCATGCATGCTCTGTGTGTGAGGTGTGTGTGCATGCATGTGGATGCATGTGTGTATGATGTGAGGTAGCTCTGAGACCGAAGGGGAGAGAGGCCGAGCCGAGCCACCAGGCCCCCGTGGCCCCGGCCTGCCCGTGGCCATGCCCCCACCACCACTCGGAGCCGCGCACGAAATGGTCTTAGAAGTTAGCGCCCGTGTCTGCCATCAGAGTTAGAGACTCGAACCCGAGACCCTCATCTATCCCAGCAGCCCAGAACGCCAGGGCTTCTCATCCTGGAACTAGGTCAGGGGTAGGTGTGCGGTTTTTATTTTCTCTTTAACTAAGAACCTCAGAAAGGAAGCTGAGTAGAAAGTCACCGCCTTTAAGATGCAATTCCTCTCACGTCTGCCGAAGCGGAATAGCTGGTTTTTAAACAGCGCCTTTCGCGGCGACAGAACCACCCAGGGACCCCGGCGGGAGGTCCCCAGGCGTGGCCGCCCGCGGAGAGCACACTCGCTGCACCTTCACAGCACCCGGACCGCCCCCCTCCTCGCCCCCCCCCCCCCCGGGCCTCGCACTCCTTCCCCAACGCGCAGAGCCAGGAAGGAGGCAGAGCACGCTTCCAGTGCACCTCCTGTGTCCGCCGTCTGACGGCGCTCCCGGGCAGAAAGCGGTGCCAGAGGCTCCTGTTCTTCCTGGGCCTTCCGGTCTGTGCCCTGAGCCGGGCGGGCACAGAAAGCAGGGGGTGTCCTGTCACCTACACCCCCCCAGGCTCCCTGCTCTGGGCGTCGTCCTCACATCCCACTAAAGGGGTCCCTCCGCCCCCCCCCCCCCGGCAATCCCCCCGCGCGTGTGGGAGACAGCAGAGCGCCCTCCCACCTACACTCCGGCTCCGAGGGAACGGCGCTCGCTCCCGCCTCCGGCACATCTGTCAGCCACGGGTCCGGCCACCCTGCCCGGCCTGGGCCACCCCGCCCTCCCGCCCAGGGCTCCGCTCAGCCCCTCCTCCGGGCCGTCTGTCCACTCCCCGTGCCCTCCAGCCACCTCCCAAACGCCAGCAGGACCCTCCGCGCCCAGGGTCTTCCCGGCCCAGGCTGTCTGTCCGGGGAGGCGGCTCCTTGTCGGGGCCGACGTCCTGGGCGCGGCCGGCCTTCCCGCACCCCCGGCCTCCGGGCCGGCCCAGCGGCCACCGAGACAGCCGGGGTCCGGGCGCATACAACGGGCCCCGTGGCAGCTTCTCCCCCCAGACCCGGCCGCCTCTCCCTCGCGCCACGCCATCAGCACGGAGCCCCTGGGGGAGGGCTTGGGGTCCCAGCCCCTCCACCCCTCCCCCTGCCCCTGCCAGGGCTGTCCACCCCTGGGCGGGCGGGCACCGCACTGCACTGCGGCCGCCGGCCCGACGGCAGAGCCCGCGCCTCAGATGGCGCCCGGGCCAGGCTCACCGCTCCCCGTCACCCCGCTCCCCGGCCCCACGGAGGCGCGGCCGCAGGGACCTCGGCTGTCCTTCCCGCCGCGGCCTTCCCTCCGAGAAACAAAAGGCCTCCCGGCGCCCAAGGGGCCGGCCCCCGGGGACTGAGCAGGGGCAGCGCGGGGCAGTGGCCACGTCATGCCCTCGGCTCCTGGCTGCGGGGTGCAACAGGGGGTCCATGGCCCTCAGGCTGACTCGCACGGAGCACCCTCTCCGTGCCTCGGTTTCCCCGTGAGACGCTCTGTGAGGTCCTACGGCCTCAGGCCCGGTGTCCCGGGGAGCCCAGGGCCGCGGGCGGGGGTCCCTGGCCCAGCGGCGCCTGGCCCCCGCAGGCCCCCGGCACAGAGCCGCCCGTCCTCCCGCCCGGGAGAGCACGTGCGAGGAGCCCATAACCGTGTCTTGTAAAACTATACTTTCTCACAAGGAACCGAAAGTAGCTCTCGCGGCAAAATGGCAGCGGCTGCGGCTGGAGGAGGACGGGGTGCTCCCCGCCCCGCCCCCACCCCGAGGAGGCCTGACGGCGAAGAGGCCGGACGGCAAGGAGGCCGAGGAGGGGAGGAGGCCTGACGGCGAGGAGGCCTGACGGCGAGGAGGCCAAGAGGGAGAGGAGGCCGAGGAGGGGAGGAGGCCGAGGAGGGGAGGAGGCTGAGGAGGGGAGGAGGCTGAGGAGGGGAGGAGGCCGAGGAGGGGAGGAGGCTGAGGAAAGGAGGAGGCCGAGGAGGGGAGGAGTCCAGGACGGCGAGGAGGCGAAGAGGCCGAGGAGGGGAGGAGGCCGAGGAGGGGAGGAGGCCGGACGGTGAGGAGGCCGAGGAGGGGAGGAGGCTGAGGAGGGGAGGAGGCCGAGGAGGGGAGGAGGCCGAGGAGAGGAGGAGGCCGGACGGCGAGGAGGCGGGACACCGGCCTGCGGGCGGGAACGGGTGTCCTCGGGGTCGCCGGCCGGTTCTGTGCCCGCGTCCTGGGCTCACACACCTCCCCGAGCCGTCCCCGTCCACGGAAGACACCCCCCCAGCGTGTGCTGTCACGGCCGAGAAACCCGTGCAGGAAGCTCAGTCTGATGGAGCGCAGCCGTCCTCACTGAGGCTCCAGGAGGCAGACGGAACGCCCACCGCTTCACTACATGGCGAAGAATGTAACTGGCTGACGTTCAGTTTAATCAGCCGAGCACAGATCACTTTCCTGCTACAGCTGGTGAAACACAGCTACGGCTACGTCTGACACGGGTGGCGGGCCGGGTCCATGGCTTGCTCTGGCATGCGCTTTAGGAATCTGTGTTGTTCTCCATGCAGCCCCTGTGCGTGAGCGAGGCCCGGCCGGGTGGCTCAGGGTGAGCGTGGACCTCGGAGCCAGGGGCCAGGGTTCGATCCGGTCAGGGGACGGAGCCTGCACCCGGGCTCCGTCCCCAGTGCGGGGCGGGCAGGAGGCGGCCGGTCCGTGATTCTCTCTCATCACGATGTCTGTCTCTCTCCCTCCCTTCCTCTCTGAAGTCAGTAAAAACATTTAAAAAATAAAATAATAAAAGAGGTCAAAAGAAGAGGCTACCCACTGCCAGAGTACAGTGGGTGGAGGCGGCGGGGAGGGGGGAGGGGGAGAGGGAGGGAGGGGGAGGAGAGGGAGGGAGGGGAGGGGGGAGGGGGAGGGAGAGGGGGAGGGGAGGGGCTGCGGGTGGCAGGAGGCACTAGGCCCGGTGTGCCCGTCATAGAGCTTCCCTCAGTGCAGCCACCCCTGCTTCTGCCCGCCCCGGTGTGCCCGTCCCGGTGTGCCCGTCCCGCTGTGCCCGTCCCGCTGTGCCCGCCCGGGTGTGCCCGTCCGGGTGTGCCCGTCCCGCTGTGCCTGTCCCGCTGTGCCCGCCCTGGTGTGCCCGCCCTGGTGTGCCGATCCCGATGTGCCCGTCCCGATGTGCCCGTCCCGCTGTGCCCGTCCCGCTGTGCCCGTCCCGGTGTGCCCGTCCCGGTGTGCCCATCCCGGTGTGCCGTCTGGGTGTGCCCGTCTGGGTGTGCCCGTCCCGGTGTGCCGTCTGGGTGTGCCCGCCCTGGTGTGCCCGTCCCGGTGTGCCCGTCCCGGTGTGCCCGTCCCGGTGTGCCGTCTGGGTGTGCCCGTCCGGGTGTGCCCGTCCCGGTGTGCCCGTCCCGGTGTGCCCGTCCCGGTGTGCCGTCTGGGTGTGCCGTCCGGGTGTGCCCGTCCCGGTGTGCCCGTCCCGATGTGCCCGTCCCGCTGTGCCCGTCCCGGTGTGCCCGTCCCGGTGTGCCCATCCCGGTGTGCCGTCTGGGGGTGCCCGTCCGGGTGTGCCCGTCCCGGTGTGCCCATCCCGGTGTGCCATCTGGGTGTGCCCGTCCGGGTGTGCCCGTCCCGGTGTGCCCGCCCCGGTGTGCCCGCCCCGGTGTGCCCGCCCCGGTGTGCCCGTCCCGGTGTGCCCGTCCCATGTGCCCGTCCCGGTGTGCCCGCCCCGGTGTGCCCGTCCCGGTGTGCCCGTCCCGGTGTGCCCGTCCCGGTGTGCCCGTCCCGGTGTGCCGTCCCGGTGTGCCGTCCGGGTGTGCCCTGTGGCTGTGCCCATGTGGGCTGCCGGTCCCTGGCGAGGCACCGGAGCAGGGAGCCGGCCGGCAGTGACCGTCCCGTGGGGCGTTGCCCACCATTCACCAGGAGAGCTCCCCACGGGGACACCCAGGGGCCGGGCCCCGATGCCCCTCCTCTGTGCCTCCTGTGCCACGGGCGCCCGGCCCTCCAGCAGGTCCCGCCGCCGTGTGACAGCCGCCAGGCCCACCAAGGCGAGGACCCCCCGAAAGGCAGCCAGGGGGAGCGGGGCGGGTCGGCTGTTTGTTTATTTATTCTGCGTCCCCGGCCCCTCCACCTGCCCCTCCCAGGCCGGCGGCCGCAGGAGCTGACCCCAGGGGCAGGGGGCAGATCAAAGGCGAGGCCGGTGGGAAGCACAGCCCCGGGCACGGCCCGCTGGCAGAGGTCACCCGGCCCGGCCAGACAGGTCGCATCCCCGGGGCGACAGGAAAGGCCCAGCAGCGCCCACAGGCGTGGCTTCCCTCTGCGGCCCCGAGAGCAGGAGCCCTCCTCTCCTCCTCTCCTCCTCTCCTCCTC